AAAAACAAAAATATCGCACAACGTATAATTAAATATATATAGATTATTGTATAAAACAAACAAACAAACAAAAAACAATGAACAATGTATACTTTATATACTTGATAATATATATATACATATATGTGTATTGTCGCTCTCTCTCTCTCTATCTCTCCGTTGACTTGATTCTCAAGCGAAATGTAGGCTGTCGAAAGTTTTTTTTTTTTAGATTTTCAACCGAAACATATATAGGTCAAACATACTAAATTGGTAAAATTACTTCCATGGCTTATAAACAGTTGTGCGGTAGTGTACATAAAAAAAAAAAAAAAATTATGAACCCATACATTTGTATTTTTCATGATACATTCACGAATACCCGTTTCTTTATCAAATTTCGAATCCGATACATCAGACCACACCAGTACGTCAAATTCAAGGTATCGTAAAATATTTTCGCCCCCCCCCCACTCTTTTCCCCTTGTACAACATGAGTCGTTGCTTTTTTTGCGTACACCTGCTTTGTCGCACGACCATTCATCTTCTCCAAAAGAACAAAATCCTCATCGCTCACTCGACAGATCCTCTAACACTCTTCTTGATTTCCGTAGACAGTAGGTCTTTTTCACCTTAGGCGAATAGTACGAATGATACAAAGTGACGCGAAAGGGAAAGTTTTTTTTTTTCTAAATAAACTTTGCGATATGAAGTACAATACAACTATTCCATTCATAAACTATTAGCACTCTGGAACAAAAAACTTGAAAATATTGGGAATGCACTTTCAAACTAATTTCGTTTGATTCGTTAACCCATAAATACACTCTCAACTTAATTAATTGAACTCATCAAAGAGTCGCTTCACACCTCACGAAAACCCATAATTTGAAGAGAAAAAAAAAAAAAAAAAAAAAAAAAAAAAAAAAAAAAAAAAAAAAAAAAAAAAAAAGAAAAAAAAATACTGTAGAAAGAAAAATAGAACAAGTCGAATTATTTGACATCGTAGGCACACGTACATACCATTATTTCAGATATAATTAATTGCTGTATTACGTTTACACGAGTGATCGAATAGATGAGACGCAAAGTTCAGAAAAAAATTAGAAAATTTGAAGGTAAAAAAGAACGGCACAGGTGGCCGCTAAAGTGCAAGCTCTTGGAGACAGTTATCTCTCTGCCTCTATGTGTGAAAGTGCGCGCGTGTGTAAAGAACGTATAAATAGAAAGTAGAGTACGCTACGCGAACGTAATGTTATTGTTTAGATCGAATATATACACAGTTACTGATAAATTCGAGAAGAAGAAGAAAATAAAGTAATGTGATTTTTTGGTTCGACCAAATTATATGGTGGATATGTTTGTGAATGTATGTTCAACGAGGTGTTCACTCAATGCTTTATGCTCAATTTTCTGGGATCTGTTACTAGATGCACGAAGATTACTATCATCCGAACGCACTGAGTGTGTATCAATCGGCAATTTAGTTGGGTTGGATCTCAATTGCCAATCTCTTTGTGAGTAATCGTCGATGACAAGTGAAAAACAAAAATTAATATTTCACGACAAATGTGTAAGTGTTTTTTACATCGACGAAACTGCGAATCTATGGATGTAATGAGAGAAACACTTTTTTTAAACGTTTTAGTCGTATGTAGACTAAATGAATATAAGAACAATATATACATCGTTTTAGTTAAGAAGAACGTATAAATATTATATACATAAAAATAACAATGAAGAAATACAAAAAAGCGTCGATTCTCAAGATTAAAGTCAATTTTTTGAAAAAGGGTTAACTTTAATCGTCTTGACATTTAGAATGAATAATAAAAACAAAAATATCGCACAACGTATAATTAAATATATATAGATTATTGTATAAAACAAACAAACAAACAAAAAACAATGAACAATGTATACTTTTCTTTTTGTTTTTATCGATTTCGAGAGTATACTGTTGACAAATTTTTTGTAAGCAACAAACAGAAGGAAAATTTAAAGAAAAGAAACAATAAAACTCAACTTAAATGTTAACACTGTAAATTACCTACATATATAGACATAGAATCGCATATTATATGATAAGACGGTACGCATTGTCGTTGACAAAAGTTTTGTAAGCAAATTTTTCGTTGATCCAATGATAAGTATAATCAAACAAAAACAAATATTATTTATTATTATCAAGAATATTCTGCATCGAATGGACTCGTGTTCATTTCATTTGTCAATTTATAAATGAATTTCAAGACGATCCCACATTTTTTTACAATTTTTTACACTTTACTTTATTTATCGTCTAAGGTAAAACAAAAAACTTGATATGAATAAAAACAATTATGGTTCACTTTTTTTTTGTTTTTTTTTTGTTAGTATGTTTAGTTGAATAAAAACTAATGGACTAGGCGAACACGTCAAAAAAATTCTGATC